GAAGGTATAAGCAAGGGTGAAAATAACATAAACTCTAACATCAACATAAACTCAAGCACCACCAACAACAGCAGCAACAACAAGAGATGTTTAACATTTGGCTCTCTTCCGCCCTCGCTACATTCCCGATCTCAAGTGCAACGTGAAAGGAACAGAAAGGTTTGTCCTGAGTGCTCAGGCGCGAGCCAGGCCAGACAAAGTGTATTGAATTCGCGGTTTGCGCCTCGATTCATGGGGGTTCCCACATTAGAAGTACCTTTTGGGGTCCCTATAATAAGGATTAGAGTATATTGGGGCCGAAATTAGGGTACCGGATTACATTGTCAATCAACATGCTTACAGGCAAGTTCATTTGATCCGGTCAGGAGGCAATGGCAGCCAACTCAGTATGCATGGACTCACTGTGCTGCATGTAGGCGGTAATTTTCCTTTCAAGCATGCTGGCGCAAGAAATGCAGCGGACATGTCTTGGAGCAACATCCATCCCTCTCTGAGAAGGCATTGCACGATCTAAGGATTTCTCAAAGTTTTCACTGACTTTCGTCTATCAATCAAACGCGAGCATCTGCAAAATCATGCAACATTTGGTGCATCATTTGTTTGACGAAGAAGATGCCTTGCTTCTCCCTGTGTTAATACATATTGGGGAAACCCATAAAATGGAGAATCAAATGGACAAGAAAATGGAAAATGAAATGGAAACTGTGGGAATATAGGGATTTAAGGAACTTAAATTAAGTTACTATATTGAGAAAACCCTATTATTTACTATATATACCCATTATGGGATTTAAGGAACTTATTTTTGCATTTTTCTCGTTTGCAGTTCCGTGGCTGGCACCATTTGTAGACAGTTCTTGATGCTGCAGTACTTGGAGGCCCATGGGACTTAGTAACCACTTTGAACTGGGCTTATAACCCTACTTATAATCCCCCTAAATGGGCTTATAGGGGTACCCCAATTATAAGTAGGGCTATAATCTCAGTTATAAGTGGTTACTAAGTCCCATGAGCCTCCAAGCAGTAGGGCAGCCCTTCCTTGCAGTGCTTCACCCTTGAGGCCCTGACACGTCGGCTGCGTGTCAACAGCGACTGCGGGGGCCTCTTTTTCTAGAGATGAAGACCTGTTCGGGGAAAACCCCGAACCCCTAAACCCTAAACCCTAAACCCCTTAAACCCAAAGCCCCGAAACCCTTAAACTCCTACACCCCTGAACCCCTAAACCTAAACCCCAAGCCGTGTTAATGGGCAAAGAAGCCCAGAGCATGAGTCTGATTTGAGATTCTACTCTGTGGGTGGCCGTTTAGGCAAAAAGGGTTAAGGACCTTGATAATTTAAGCTACTGGTTTGGGGGTTCAGGGGAACTTCTAGGGGATAGAGCGGTTTTTATAGGGATGTATATGGTTAAGAGTTTAGGGATCAGGGATCTTACCCTTTCATTTGAGACTCAAATGGAGAAGGGACTTGAACATGAAGCGGAAACCTGGATACATTGGGTCTTATGGTCTTATGGAGATTAGGGATCATGGAAAATACGTTCCTGAAAGGCCGGATCCTAAGTGGTCAGGGATAACCCCGAACCCCCTAGACCCTAAACCCCCTAAACCCTAAGCTCCTAAACCCCTAAACCCCTACACCCCTTCACCCCTAAACCCCCAAACCTAAACCCCTAGCCGTGTTAAGGCTCAAATTACGACTCGCTGCCAGATCTTGGCTTCATTGTGGCAGGGCATGCAGCTCGGCTGGGATTATAGGGATTGTATAGGGTTTCTTTCTGGATTATATAGGGCAATATAGGGGTTATATTGGGGTTATATCATGGGGTTGTTTTGGGGTTATACTGGGATGGCTGTTGGCCTGTCATCTGGGTTGTGTTTTCAAAATTTGGGGCCCCTTGTGGTGATGGGTTACAGTAGGGCACCTAATATTTAGAGATACCAAAATGGGACGCTAATTTTGGGAAGTGAAGATAACCGACCATAGTGGGTCTATATATATATGTATATAATAACTAGAATTGTTTCCCCAATATAATAACTCAATTCAAGTGTCTAAACTCCGTCAAGGGGGTTATATAGGAGTTTCCCGAAATCAGGGGTACCTTTTCGGGGGTCCTTATAGTAAGGACTATAGTATTTGGGGGTCTGTAGTAGATTCCCCTATTTGGGGAAACTGTGGAATAACTTAATTTATGCGACCCGTGTAAGATCTTAATATAGATATAGTGATGAGAGCATGTTCTTTGATATTTACGCATATTGTTTGAGTTCCGTAGCAGTAGTCAATTTTTTTTTGGAGTTGGGGCGTAGGGTCAGGTACAAAGGGTGAAGCAAAGGCATCAGTCTGTGGCTTTCTTCGGGTCTAGGCCAGGCTATGAGCCTACGCTACATAGACGGTGACGCTCCACATGCAAAAATGACGAGAACCCCCCAAAAACCATATAGTATACCAATTTTGGGGGGGTGGGGTTACCAAAAGCCCGTGCTTGTAAACCCTTAGACCCTGCGGAGTAGTTTCCATTTTCTTTTCCATTATCCCTATACCCTATATAATGTAATGGGTTTCCCATTTTCCTAACATAACCCCAATATATACCCGATAATCCTATGTAACCCCTACCAAAATCCCCTTCGCAAAAGAATGCCCAACCGTGGAAGATCACTACCAGCCTGCAAGCTGATCGAGCTTGCGAGCTTTCAACCCCAAACCCCTAAACGGTTTAGGGTTTAGGGGTTTGGGTTTAGGGTTTAGGGGTTTGGGTTTAGGGTTTAGGGGTTTGGGTTTAGGGTTTAGGGGTAAGGGAACCGCATGTGTCCACATATAGTCCCCTTTTAGTAGATAGAATATGGGGTATATGGGGATTCTATTTTCATATGCCCAAAACCATATTCTATCTTCTTAGGGGGACTGTATGTATACCCTTAAATTACACCCTTAGGGGGAACTTTGAGGTCATGAACCTGAAGCCAGCAGAGTACGTGGACAGCACTGGTGGGTCCTGCTCCCTCTCGCTGATGAGCCGCTGTGCTGCTCATGGGAGTGGACGGAAAAATCTTTAGGGTTTATGGGTTTAGGGCTTTAGGGTTCTAGGGGTTACGGTTTAGGTCTTTAGGGTTTCAGGGTTTAGGGCAGTTCAAGGTTACTTTAGCGTTCCTTGTTGGTGTAAATATTTTCTTTTCCAAAAACCTCGGTCCTTCTGATGTACCCCCGAATATTATCCTTCTAGGTACCCTGCAAGAAATCCCACTTTTTTGGAATCCCTCAGCCCCATACATGCCTATTTACTCCCAGGTTCCCTCATATGTTCTATTCTCTTTTTCTATTTGATGCTCCTTTGTTGCAGTATTATCCCTGTGCTTCAGGAACACCAGATACATTAAACCCTAAGCCCCATGACTAGGCTTTCGGGTAAGGTTAACTTCGATAAGCTTTCCACAAGGATGTCCGCGTTAGGCCCTTGTAGTGTTCAGGGTTTCAAGCCCCGCTCAGGGAAAGGAGTTGTAGGTTGGGGCTACGCAAGGGTGCAAACGGCCTGGGTGTGTCGGAACCCTCGAGCGAGCGCCCCATGACATCAACACACATTCAATTCTAAACCCTAAGCATTTGGTTTAGGGTCTGGGGCTTAGAGTGGGGCCGCTGCTAGCTAAAATCGGGTCTGCAACCCTTATGGATCCCGTTGCAGGGGCTAGTGTGCTATTCACACATGAAACTCTGATGTCCCTAAGTTGTAAATACACGCAGTTTG